TATTTCCAGAAACATGAATACATTCTTGCAGATTCTTCATTACCTATTTTCTTTATATATAATACAGGCTGGTAATATTCAGTGGTAACAATTTGAAAAGTGATAGCCATTCATAGTGATTCAATGCAAAATGCCGTTTCAAGACTAATATCCCTTTCGGGCTTAATTATTAATTAATCAAGAAAATGGAAAATTACAGAAAATGAAAATGTATGCTTAAAACATATATACCGAAATACAAATAAGTGCATTTAAACAAAAGTGAATTAAATTGTCTCCAGATGGCATTTTGGAGAACATTGTAATCAGATCATCATCCGTAAAATCACAGGAAGATATGATCCATTTTCCCTTAAAAAGCCTCTACGAAAGTTTAAGAATTTTTTTTTTGAAATATATGGGTTCAATTACAAATCATATTTCTTAACTTGAAAAACATTTTCCTTTTGTCAATAAGCACACAATTCATTTATCTTGCTGCTTACGAACATTCACAAGAGTTCGACACATGAATTGGAATGCATTCCTTGTGTTGGCAAGAAAAGCTAACCAGGAAACAGATAAATGGAAACAAATCATGTAAATTAATTCATTTTTTGCATCAAAAAAATATTTTAAATCATCATTTGGTTTATTATTCACGTAATGTGTTATACGATTTATTTTATGCACTTTTTAGTTATTTATAAAACTATACAAAATTAATTAGAAATTCTGCATATAGATACATAGGTTGTTGTTTTTTTTTCAACCTCCGATCGCACAGTATGATGGCCAGGTATGCGGCAGGTGGTGGGTGTGAGTAGTAGGCGACTGCGCATCTCCCCCTTCACACGCTCTGTCACTGACGTATTCAACACGCCATTTTCTGTTGAGTTGCAGTCACGTAAACATGGCTGTCGCTATTGATTCTCACGCCAAGTGTGAATTGCGAGCTGTTATTCGTTTCTTGCAGGCAGAAGGGAACAGTGCAGCGGAAATTCATCGAAGAATGAGTCAAGTATATGGAAACAGCTTTATGAGTGATAGCGTTGTTAGTGAATGGTGCCGAAAGTTTAAAGATGGCCGAACTGATGTGCATGATGAAGGGGGTCAAGGATGCAAGTCTGTCGCTACAGACGACATTGTTCAACGAGTTGATCAAGCGGTTAAGCAAAATCGAAGGTTTACCATAAGAGAATTATCGATGAAATTTCCGGAAGTTTCAAGATCTTCCCTGTACTCTATTGAACAGTTGCGCTACAGAGAAGTTTGCGCTCGCTGGGTCCCACAGATGTTGACTGACGACCACAAAACTCGCCGAATGGTTGCAGCATTCGAGTTTCTTGACCGTTACAATACTAACAGAGAAGAGTTTTTGAAATCCATTGTGACAGGTGATGAAACATGGGTTCAATATGACACGCCTGAAACAAAACGACAATCATAACTATGGATGCACACAAATTCTCCAAAGAGACCCACAAAATTCAAACAAACCTTTAACAACCGTAAGGTTATGGCAAGTGTTTTTTTTGGGGGGGGACCAAAAAGGTGTGTTGCTTGTGGAGTTTATGCAGCTTGGAACAACAATTAACGCAGATTCATATTGTGAAACTTTGCGACGCTTACGGAGAGCTATTCAAAACAAACGAAGAGGCAGCTGACTTCTGGAATTGTTCTGATCCACAACAATGCCCGTCCTCACAGCACTCGTGTAACCCAACGGCTCTTTCAGCAGTTTCAATGGGACATTTTCGAACATCCACCATATAGTCCAGACCTCGCGCCGAGCGACTTTCATCTGTTCCCTGAACTGAAGCAGCGGCTTGACGGGAAGCGCTTCCAAAATGACGTGGAGCTAAAAGAAACCATCACAACTCACTTCCAAACATTGGCGGGGACATTTTATTAAGAGGGTATTGCAAAGCTTGTTCACAGATATGACAAATGCCTCAATCGTCAAGGTGATTATGTAGAGAAATAACCTGTATTGTACATTACTTTTGGTAATAAAATCTTTTTTGTACATTCACCAGTCTTTTCTTTATAGCCCATCGGAGGTTGAAAAAAATAGCCCTTGTAAATTAGTATTAGAATATGTATTTTTAAAATACAAGAAAACATGAGTATACATAAGAAAGTACATAAATATCAATTTAAAAAAATTTCATTATTTTATCAGTAATGGATGCTGCATAATAATCCTGACGATCCATAATAATGCTTTCATAATAGTCATAATATTTCATAATAATTCACAATGCAAAAGCTTACAAAACTCTTAACTCATTTCCAGTCCTAGTTGGAACACGAAAATAAATGAAGCAAAATTTGTTTGGATTTAATGTATTATGAAATTTATTATTAGCATTACTGTGGGAAATGTTATGTCATGATATTCCCTAATCCCCTACTGTGTGACGTATGCATTGCGTCAGCATGTGTTTCCCGCCTTCGGAAGAAGACGAGGATTAGCTGGCGAGCGGAGCAGACGTCGCTTGATCGCTCGTATACCATTTTCATTAATTGTAATCCTAATATAATCTATATTTGTAAATAGTAATAAATGTGTGTTATCAACTATGGTCGTTGCCTTTTCCCACATTTTGAGGGCTCGACTGTGCATTTTGTGCATGCGTTATAATCAAACCCTAGACACCAGCAATCACTAAAGATGTTCAGAAAGCTAACAAAGGCAAGACGTGCCTTTATGACGATTTAATATTCTTCTTCAAGCCAGACGACGTATGTGAATGAAGACGTGCCTTTATGACGATTTAATATTCTTCAAGCTGGACGACATATGTAAATGATGTTACATGCTACTTGTCCGTTCAATGTGGGAAATGTTATGTCATGATATTCCCTAATCCCCTACTGTGTGACGTATGCATTGCGTCAGCATGTGTTTCCCGCCTTCAGAAGAAGACGAGGATTAGCTGGCGAGCGGAGCAGATGTCGCTTGATCGCTCGTATACCATTTTCATTAATTGTAATCCTAATATAATCTATATTTGTAAATAGTAATAAACGTGTGTTATCAACTATGGTCGTTGCCTTTTCCCACATTACCGTATATACCTGCGTATAAGTCGACCCCCCCACTTCCGAAATCGATAGAGAAACTTCGAAACATTTTTTTAAGTACTACATTTATTCAAAATCATATGAGAAAAAAAAAGTAAATATACGATAAAAAATACCTTGGTAAATAAACAAAATCAAACTCCTTCAACGTCCGATTCGCCAAACATTTCACAGAACTCTTCTGTCGTCATTGGCTCGTCATCACACATATTTTCAGTCTCTAACTCTGTATTGTTACAATCACTACTAGAGCCTTCGTCGTCATTTTCACTTTCAAAAACTGCATCATCTTCTGTTCCGTCTACTTCGTTGCTAATACAACATTTTTTAAATGATTTTATAATCATTTCAGAGGGTATTTCATTCCAAGCATCTTTAACCCACTGAGCAATTAATGTAATATCGGGCTTTTTAATGTTGCCTCCCTTTGTAAATGTTGTAAATTTTGACGTGTACGCCTGTTAACAAAAGTATTTCATGAATGAACAATAACTATTATAAAGACTTATACGTACGTAAAAACTATCTGCATTTCTCTTTTCTTGGCGTGTTGGCGAAACTGTTTTATTGCTCGATATTGATTGGTTCTTCAGGGACCGAAAATTCCTTGGTTTAATCAAAACTTACTCTAGTTAAAGTATGAAACTCTGTGAATAGTTCGTCACATAATTTAAGTCATGAAATTACTTCAAGTGAGTGACTTATTTGATAAGTCGTCCAATTTGAGTGCAGGAAGAAAACAACTGCATTCTATAAAGATATTTTTGAACTTCCGATTCTTTTAATTTTTTATGGCCCCGCGTATAAGTCGACCCCCCCACTTTAAAGTCTCTTTTTTTGTCCAAAATATCTCGACTTATACGCAGGTATATACAATAATTAATTTTTAATCAGACGGGTTTGTAAGGTCTTTCTTGCACGTATTCTGAAAACGCGCTTGCACAATTTTACGTTTTACGTATGCTATAGTTTAATTAAATGTGTGATAGCTATATTACAAGGTCAGATATAAATGCATATACATTGTAATTTCATGGGATAAAATCCATTGCTCATATTATTTACCAAGCAATACCCCAGTACATTTAAGTAAAATATTATACATAAATAATACTTATTATTTTCAACATGAAAACAGTACATTAAAAAAATTTTTAATGTAAAAGTATACATTTCACTTTCCTCTTGACGAAATTTTTCTTCCAACGCAATATGACTCCTTGAGATCTAAAAATGTTTTCAACCACCTGCCTACCTTCCAATTTAGATATATAAAAATGTTTATATATACAACGTAACCTTATGTAAAGCTTCCTGAATCTGGGTGGAACTCAGCATATTATGTTATTAATTTTTAGCTTCATCACCTTTTTCAATATTTTTTGCAGATCAAACTAAAAACTAACAAAAAAAAAAAAAAAAAACTTTCAAGAAAGTAACATTGGCAAATGATGCTAATAAAACTCATGCACGGTTGAAAGCTATATGCGAAATATTACTTTACCAAGTTGCAAAATCTATAATCCAAACCTATAAGGAAGGTAGTATAAAACTCTCCCAACTTCAAATGCTTTTCGAAAAGATCTATACTTGCTTTCTGAATTTGAATTTCAAATTCATGCAGAAAAATGATAGTTTGACGAATAACAGAATACTCTTATTTATACTTAAATCAGGACTGAAAGTGGCAAATGGCACAGGGAAATAATTACAGGAAAATAATCACTGCAAGACAGATAATTCGAGCTTCTAATGTATACAGTATTGTTGCATTGAGCCATTTCAAAAACTTATAAGAAAACAATCAAGCAAAAGGTCAGAGATTTTATGAAGAATTTTCACACTCAAGCACAACTGCTATATTTTTGACATCAAATTGCTTTTATTAGGTATAGAAAAAACAGGAAAAAATTCTAAAATAATATAGGTACTTGAAATTTAAAGGAGCCTAATGATGTGTGAATAAATAAAGTATCCTCCACAGGACCTTCTTCTCTGGCTAATAAAACAACATCAAAACTGGTATTTCCACCTGGAGGAATGACCTGGAAGTAACAATAATCTTTCAATATTTTCAAATTATAGCAAAGCAAACACACATATCCTAAAAACAGAATAATGCATTGAATAAAGAATTCACAGCTTAACAATTCATATTACCTTTTCTTGAAAAAATGAACAATGAGTATGCAATGTATTGCCTGATATTGATAACATATGTATGCTGGTATCAGGACTTAAATTCTGCACAGTGACACGTTCCATATGAGGCATACCCACAGGGCTAAAAGAGTCATAAACACTCATAAGATTAAAGTTAAAACAGGACAGAAAAATTATTAGATATTCTTAAAAACCTGTAACAATCTATGAAAAATGTCCATTATTACTTCTTTTTAAATAAACTTTGCACAATCTGAATATTCTACTGAACACACAAACTAAGGTAACACAGTCTTTCAAGAAATAAATACACTGAATTATTTATATGAAGATCATGGTAATAAAATATACAAGTATGGCAAATAATTTACTTACTGAAAATGGAAATTTAACATAGGAGGATGAAATGCTATTGGACTTGCATATGCATTTAAATTTTCTTCATTTAAATCAGTGAAACTGCCGAAGAATAAAAATAGGACATAACATATATGTTTTCAATATAGGTAATAGCTTCAATTTTGATAACATGGATATAAATTACATACAAGCATTACACATAAATGTATTGTTGAGATTAAATTAAATCATGATTCAAATCTACAGCAAAATCTTGATTTTATTTATTCAAAGAAGTGATTCATAACCACAAACAGATTACATGACGGTCAAGCATGAATATTTCAAAATTATCAGTAATAATCTTCGAAAATCACATTATTTGTCAGAAAATATGACATAAAAATCTCCATGTCTCAAATCTAAACAACTCTTCAAGATAAATTATTGTGAATAGCAAATTTGGGAATCTAATTTTGAGTTTTGCATTCAAAATGCTTTTTTGCCATGTGAAGAAGCGAATAACTAGTTCAGAAGTCAAACAACAAAAATCAACGTTATATTTACAAAATTTTCACAGGACTAGTTTCGATGGTTTTACCGAACCACCATCCTCAGCTGCAAAACCACAAATGAACAAGATAGGAAATAATGATTAGATTAAGATAAGAAGCATGTGTAAGAATAAGCAAATGGCGTCATCTGTTGGTGAAACCAGAACTAAAACCTAATTTCTTTAAAGGCCGAAGGTAAATTTGGATTGTAATTAGGATCGTTAACTAGAACAAAGATTTTTATGAATGTGAAATGACTCTAGAAAATCCAGTTCTCCAATGGAAGATGTTTTTGAATAATTTTGGCAGCAGAAAAATTTAAAGTGTGATTTTAGGTCCAACAATGTTGAGCAACAGAAGACTTCTGTGTTTCCTTTTTTCTAACATACGCCTCGTGTTCCTTGACGTGAAATTTTAAGGCTCTCTTAGTTTGGCCAATGTAAATTAAACCACACTGGCAAGGAATCTTATAAATACCCCAGGAATTCATATCCGGAATGGGGTCCTTGAGTATGGAACTCGGAATTTTATTGATGGGAGAATGAACAACCCAAAAGTTAAATTTCTGCAAAATATGTGCAACTTAATAGCTAATTGATGGAAAGAAGGGAATGACAACAGAATTTTTATAATCTCCTAAAACAAGAGTGTGTGCCTTTTAGTGTGTTGAGATGAGAATTTTTTAACTGCTTCATTAATAATGTTGGGTGAAAAGCCCTTGTCAATAGCTATTGCTTTTAAATAATTTAGTTCTTCATCAAGGGCTAGTTTGGAGGAGCAAACTTGAAGAGCACGGAAAACATAGGAATAAAATGAAGCTAACTTTTGTTTAGTCGGATGACATGATTTAAAGTGTGGTAGAATGCAAACCTATGAAGGTTTACGGTAAACCGTAGTACTGAAGTTGGATGTGTTACGTGTGACCAGGATGTCGAGAAACGGAAGAGAATTGAAAGTCTCAAGTTCAAAAGTGAACTGAATAGCAGGATCAATAGAATTCATTGTTGAAAGAACTTTATTTAAATCATTTTTATTACCTTCAAACAGGGTAAAAGTATCGTCTACTTAGTGGAACCATACCGGGAAGTTTAAAGTTTCAAACAATTTTGATTCATAATAATGCATGTAGATATCAGCCAGGATGGGACTGAGGGGGCTTCCCATGGCTAATCCCTCAGTTTGCTTGTAATATTTATTTTGGAAAACAAAATTTGTTTGTTTCAAACAGAGTTGAGTGAGAGAAATTAGCTCATAAATTTCGATACAAGAGAAATGAAGTTCGCGAAGTCTAGTTTCTAGACATCTTAATGCACCGTCCACTGGAACATTGGTGAATAATGATTTTACATCAAAAGAAACCATGAGTAAATTACTAGGAGAAATGTTTTTAACCTTTTTTACAAATTCAATTGAAATTTTTATGGTGTAAATGTTATTGTCTAATAGAGTTGAAAATCTAGAAACTAAATATTTAGCTAATGGATACGAGGCAGTACCTAAATTTGATACAACAGGACGGAAAGTAATACCACTTTTATGAATTTTGGGAAGAGCATATAATCTGGCACAATTCACAACAAATGGGATAAGCGAATGTTTTAAGTTGCTTGAAATGATTTGCGAAGATTTGATCGCAGTTTTTATTTTTGACAAGTTTGAAGGTGAAGGATCTTTAGGGATCGGATTATATGGTCCTTCGTTTAAGAGTTTAGTGACACCATCGATGTAAGTGTTCTTATCCATTACGACTATCTGGCCACCTTTGTCGGCCTTTGAAATGATAATATCCGGGTTAGAATGAATTTCGCGCATTGTAGCTCTTTAACTCGCAGTTAGATTTGATTTCAAAGGTTTATTATTGAATTTCACATTATGAGCGATAAGATGCCTAATCATTTCTTTCTGTGAATCTGAAACTTTACTGAACTTGAAAGCTTTTTTGATAGGAGCCAAAATCTTTGGAATCGAGGGTTTACAGGTTTGTAAGAAGTTAAAATTATATTTTAGAATTCTCTCTTGTTCTTCTGAAAGACTAACATTAGAAATATTAACTATTGGCTTGATGTTTACAATGGGAAGATTTTTTGAACTACTTGAACTGGAAGTCTGAAAAAGAAGTTTTTCGAATTTAACTGCAAGAGTGTTTTTATGACGGTTAACTGCATTCTCCGTTCTAGACCAAGACTTTTGTTCAAGGTCAGTGAATTTTGGATATGATTTAGCGAGTTCCAGATGAAGCTTATAGAGTTCATGTTTAATTTTGGACAATTGTTGATGTGTATCCCTTACGACGGACCGAAGTAAGGCCAGCTTGCAATTTAACCGAATTCTTGAAACGCGACTCAAAGGTTTTTGATTAGATTTGATTTGAATAAAATTGGGGATCAATTTTTTACATTTACATTTAACTAAAAAGTCAATATGATTCAGGAATTTTTGCCATTTCAGGCGTAATTTAGTGAAACGATTAATAGATGAAGGCATGATAAACAATGCAGAAAATCAAACTAAATTAACTAAGCAATAATAATAAAATTTCGCGTCGAGGAACATGAGGCATATGTTAGAAAAAAGGAAACACAGAAGTCTTCTGTTGCTCAACATTGTTGGTCCGAAAACCACACTTTCAGTTTTTCTGCTGCCAAAATTATTCAAAAAACATCTTCCATTGGAGAACTGGATTTTCTAGAGGCATTTCACATTCATAAAAATCTTTCTGTTCTAGTTAACGATCGTAATTCTAATCCAAATTTGCCTTCGGCCTTTAAAGAAATTATGTTTTAGTTCTGGTTTCACCAACAGATGACGCCATTTGCTTATTCTTACACATGCTTCTAATCTTATCTAATCATTATTTCCTATCTTTTTCATTTGTTGTTTTTTGCAGTTGAGGATGGTGGTTCGGTAAAACCATCGAAACTAGTCCTGTGAAAATTTTGTAAATATCTATAAAGCTGATTTTTGTTGTTTGACTTCTGAATTAGCATTTATTCGGCGTGTTATTGTATCTGAATAACTAGTTTTCAACACAAGTCAAAATTACAGTATAATTGTGCCAACTTTGAAATAAGAAAACCCTGGAGTTTCTGGGAGGTTTTTATGCTGCACTATGATGCTTTTCAAAAGAACTGAAACTGACATAAATTCACTTTATATAATACATGATGCAGATTACTGAATTACTTATATGATTCTGATGTAGATTATATTAATATTTAATTAGATATTCTAAACTTTTTGTCCTATGGCTAATTTCAAATTTGAAGCAAAATATGATTACCAACTTAAAATTCAATAAATGATGAAATCTAAAATCTAAATCAGTCAAAAGCAATAAAAAATAAAGAATTTTTGAATGCCTTTCAAGAGAACAGTATAAGTATCCCTTTATCGAAAATACACAGTAGTCTGGAAAAAAAGCAGAAAATAAATACCGTATACGTTCGTGTAATGTCCGCACTCCAACTTTATAGATAAAATTTATGTAAAAAAAAAAGTGACCCGCTCAATGTCCACACACCAGAAACTACAGGCTTTCTTACTTTAAATATATTGTTTTTTAACATCGCCTTTCCTCCTTCAGTCAATAACATTAGTTAATAAACATTTTTAAAGAAAGAGTATGCATTTGTTTTATCTTCGGTTGGCACCAGAATGGAAAGCAGAGACTTTCCTAGCATTCTGGTGTGGCTGTTATTCAGTCATAACATCGACGCCAGCAATCCACTCAACAGACATGATAATAAACAAAGGCAGTCCAAATATGTTTTCACAAGACTGGCTTCCAGGAAATACTGTTTTGTAATGAAATTACTTTCCACTCATTCCTCCTTGAAGCACTAGCATATTTCAAGCTTTCTTTTCATTCATAGTATCATTTGGAATTCGTGGTAGTTAGCAAGTAGCATGCTTGAAATGGGAACATGCAGCAGGTATATAGTGGCTTTTAAACTGAAAGTCGTAGAATTTGCCCAGGAAAATGGAAAAAGAGCAGCAGCAAGAGTATAAAAGGTGGATGAAAAAAGTAAGTGTGAAAAGGATTTGTGAAATTCAAAGGAATCCAAGGGATATGAAATTCATGGCAATTCATATAAATAATGATATGGTTGTATTAGTTTATTATATTTATCTTGAAAATTAAGTCATTTGATTTATTTTGCTATAACTTGAGCAAAAAATATTGTAATCCATTAACATTTGCCATATATGTGAAAATATTGAATATAGTAGTTATTTCGTTAAAATTTTTTAATAATCTGTTTTTAACATTTTGTTGATAATAAAGAACAAAATTAAAGATTAAAAATATTTCCATTTTTGGCATGTTTTTCTCAAACATATTCCAAGGGCAAGGCTTTAATAGATAAGTATCTTTTATTGTTTTGAAAATTAATTTTAAACTGATCTAGTTTCCTTAAATAAATGGACCTTAATATCCTTATAAATATTTTTTGATCAAGAAATTTATTTTGAAAAATGATTTAAGTGAAAATACATGCCAATGAGCTAGATTTTGTCAAGAATTAGTTGAATTCATTTAAAAGCATAATCATTATGAAACTAAAA